GAAACAAATGCTTATGAGGTTGTTTTATTGGATGAATATTTGCCACAAAATAAATATGAACGATATAATTTTATTCAAAATTTACAGTTAGATTCAACAATTATGCTTTATCGATATTATCATGGTAACTATCTTGGAACTTTAAATTTTATATGGCGCATTCCTTTGGATCCCAATGAAAGATCAGATAATTTACAAGCAAAAATAATAATTGAAATTCAAGAAAAACTTCCTCATTATTTTACTCGTGGAATGAGAAAAAATATATTTGAAAGGGTATTTTTTTAATTATGTAATTTTTAAATGAACTAAAATTATTTTAATATTAAAGTTATTTATATTTTATAGTACTCACTTTTAACACGAATTACACCGAATGTTTTGCGTTTATTGTATTATGATTTAACTGGTGATTCTAGTGTTGGTGTAACAGAAAAAGTAAGGCAAATGGATGAGCGACTTAGGCTTATGTTGGAATTAGGTGATCCAGAAATTATTGTAGACCTTCGAACCAATAATGGATTTAAAGGCACAAAGTTTGATATATTTTGGGATGAAGTTTCTGCATACTTTGAAGAGGTTAACCATTATATATTATTTATTATTTATAATATTATAAAATAAATTTAACTAATTTAATATTTATCTGTTATATTTCTTAGAATATACCAGCAGTTCAAGATAGACGTCATGAATCTATACTATATATGCCACTTTTTATATCAGTTTGAGACTTAAAAGATATTATAGTTTCGAGACTAAATCAAAAAAAAAATGAAAAAATAATTGAAGATTTTTTAGTTCCTTCTGAACAATGGATTGCTTTGCAATTTATCCAAAAAATCCATGGATTAAATCTAGTATAAATTATGTTGGACGATTTGAAATTAAATACAAGGTTCAAGCAAGACAACTTAGAAAATCACATCCAGATGCACATTATTGTCGTGCAATATTTAAATATTTTCGTCATTTTGCAGTAAAATTTAAAGAACATACTGCATTAATATTTGCTGATGATAAGCATAAAGTACCTATTGGTGAAGATGTTGCAACATCAACTGGAGTACGAAATAAAAGTGTAGCTATCCCAATTTCAGCTATATTAAATGCAAGTGATCATGACTTTACAAAGTTATCATTAACACCATCAGTAATGTTATTAGCTACAATACCTGAAGAACCTACAGATTCATTTTATAATGGCCAAGTTTTTGTAGCATATAAAGATACAGTTTTTCAACCTAGTTCAGCTCTTCGACATAGTACAGAATTTTATAATAATTTAAATTCTTTTTATGATGAGTTCTTGCCTGAAATTCTAATGATTTACACAGATGGTGGTCCAGATCATAAATGCACATTTGGTTCAGTTCGAATTTCTTTAATATGTCTTTTCCTTAAGGGTAATTTTGATATGTTAATAGCTGCTAGAACTGCACCATATCATAGTTGGGCAAATCCAGCAGAGAGAATTATGTCAATTATTAATCTTGCATTGCAAGATGTAGCTTTACAACGTGATCAAATGAGTGAAGAATCTGAATTAGTATTTGCACAACTTAAAACTTTAGAATCAATTCGTGAAAAAGCAAAAAATAATTTAAAATTAAAAATAGAATTACCTGTATCAATTAAAGGTATTCAAAAAATTTTAAATGAAAGAACAACACGATTAAAACTCCATGATGATTACTTTTTAGTTGGTCAAACTGCTACAAATTTAGAAATTGAGCAATTTTTTAAGGTAATTTAATGCTATATTTGAGTACTGTTAAGGAAAAACCTGTTATCAGGCTTTCAATTATATTTTGTACTGATATTATTTCTAATAAATTAGACTGGTTATATCCAGTACAAAATATATTAAAAGCTTAATGACAGATTTTCTCTTGATGGTACTCATTTGTTACAATTTAATAACAAATTATTCATAACTAAATTGTATATGTATTTTAGACCATTCATATAATTGATCCAAGTCTTAAACAAACAATGACTACATCGAATGCTTTAAAAAAACAACAATTTTATAATGATTTTTTAAAATCTCATTGTCAAATTCGAACTTATACATTTCAAATTAAAAAATGTACAAGCCAAGAATGTCAAATATGTCAACCAATTCGAATGCCACATGATCAATTTGAATTATTATCTTTTTTACCTGATCCTGAAATTTCTGCAGGTAAAATTTTATAATAAACTTTTAAATTTTTATTTTATTAATTTTAAAAATACTTTTTAATTATATAGACAAAGAACATTATAAAGAATTTGATGAATTATACGGACAGTTAACTAGTGAAAAATACAGATTATTACATCAAGAAATTTTAAATGAAGAATCTCAAGTTGGTATCTTTATAAATACAAAAATTAGGCTTTTGATTTGTTGTGACTTTTGTGGAAAGTATCGTTGCATTTATAGTAATACAGCTTTAGATGAAGAAGATTCTCAAACAGTTGTGCAATATTTTGAAAATATATCCTATAGTTGTGGATCACCAATTCTTCCAGACAGTCATCCGCTTTTTAATCAACTTCATATACACCAAAATATTACTTGTGATTCACCTATTGAACGAAATTATTATTCAAGCCGTTTGAAAGATGTTGATTTATGTTACTGGTGTGGAGCTGAAGATGGTATTATTGATCCATCTGATGAGTTAAAATCAGAATTTAAAACTATCTATCCATTATGCGCTTCATGTTATGCTAATGGCCATGAATGGTCTACTCGTGCACCAATTGTATTTCAAGCGAACAAAAAAGTTCGTACTTAATATGAATAAATCAATAAATATTGTCATTTATATGGGTTAAATAAAATTTTACAATTACGTTTACTTATAATGTTTGTTTAAATTTCCCCCTCCTTCCCTGCCTAAGCCAAAAATCTTGACATTAACCAACCAATAAACTTTAAGCGGCCTAATTACTAAAGCAACTTTATTATATAAGTACTATACGTACTGTACGTACTGTACACTAAAATAATTTGGATATCATATAAATAGCACATCACTATCCGTGGCATATATGTATTTGTTTA